TAAGTACATTCAATTTTAATCCAGTCTCTCATTGTTCCACCAAACAGGCTAATTAAACAGGCTAGTTAGATCTAACAAGCTAATTAATTCAAGGGCTTCCATTTACTTGTCTGAAACAGAACAATGCATTTAAAATATTAAGCCATGAAGTTCACCAAAATAGTACACAACTGATTGGGGATTGTTGTGACTCACAGTGATTTAGTTAAAAATATTGCAGTGTTATTGTCACAAGACAGTGTTCCAAGTGGCACAGCAAACAGTAATAAAAAATACGAGTCAGGGGGCAAAACTGGTCAATGACAAAATATTGTGCTTCATTGGAAAAATATTATAGCAACAGTTAAAACTTTTAGATATTCCATAACAACTGTTTCACAATGAGGCATGCTTCATGCAATCAGGTGATATTGATAGACCGTTAAAAGGATGCCCAGAACTATCACATTGGCAGGATACATGATAATAGTAAAATATGTAAATCTGGGAAAGACTCCTAACCTCATACTAGAGACTGACATGAGAAAGCACACATTCAGTGAGAAAATGAAGCAAAACTAGCGTTTGAAAGTAATAACCTAGAAGGAACATACAGTATTTAATTTACCTATCTTTTCTGGAGTGGATTTTGTTGGGAGGGATGGAGAGCCTGAGGACATAATGAAGTTATATTTTAAAAGTAGCTGAACAAGTCGGAGCTAGTCCTCACTAGAGTGGTCTCACTGAATTCATAACTGAATGGTAGGTCAACATTTATGTAAACCCCACTGATTCAATTATCTACTCTGATTGGGACTAACCCTTGGAATTTGGCTAACATCACTCGGGTTTTGTGTGATGATTAATTTTTTTTTTCACTCACGTTTTATGAAATGACTAACATTTTCTATCTACAGTACTTTAGATAAAGGTAAAGGTTCCCCTTGACAATTTTTGTCCGGTCGTATCCGACTCTAGGGGGTGTTGCTCATCCCCGTTTCCAAGCCATAGAGCCAGCGTTTTGTCCAAAGACAATCTTCCGTGGTCACATGGCCAGTGCGACTTAGACACGGAACGCTGTTACCTTCCCACCGAAGTGGTCCCTATGTATCTACTTGCATTTGCATGCTTTCGAACCGCTAGGTTGGCGGGAGTCTATCTACTTTATGGGGTCATAATCTCTCACCTGTTATGTCATTTTATCAGACTTAAGGATCATTTTTTAAAGTATGTGGCGTAATGCAAAGAGTAGTGATGGAAAATATAGTTGCACTGATTGTAATGGAATATAAAGGCTGGGAGGCTTTACTTACAAAAGTACCTTCCAAGTTTGGCATGAGACGAGTAACTAACCCTTGTGTCACTAAGTAAGTTGAGTCAAGAAATTTTCTGGATGTAACAAATATGAAGTGAAAGAAAGTTATTCCTTAAATTGGCAGATGTTGTATTACATAAATGTAACGTGCTCTCAAAGCAGCTCCCACAGCAGCAAAAAATATTTCCTTAATTTTTACAATTAGAATGGCATTGCATATCTTTTTGCAATACAGCGTGATCCAGTGGAAATAAGAACAGACACCTCTCCTGGACATTTGCAGTCTGAGTTATGCTCTGCATTCCCAGGTTGTATTTCCAATATACTGTACATGCCTTCAGCATTAGACACAATTAAATGTGAAGGGATGATGCACAGGTCCAACAGCCAAGGACATCTGGCTAGATCAAATATACACTGCCCATTTACAAAAAGGAGTCCACCAGGAAACATGGTCTTAAGCATCTAGTCCAGAGATTGCCTAAATCTTTGTGATTACATTTCAAAACCAAATTCTGCATTCTGATAGTTTCACACTTTTTATTTCAACTGTTTTCCTCCACAATCACTAATAATTAGCTTTGTGTTTGGAGCTAAAAGCTTCTCAGCAGGTGCTCAGAACTGGAAATGTTGAGCTAACAAAAAGAGGGAAGAGTGTCCAGCTCATCTCTAACAAACCCTGTGTTCCTGGCTCTACGCTACAGTCCTTCTTTCTAAGGCTGCCTCCATCCCCCCCACACAAAACTCTCCAGCCTCCTGCCCCCAAGGAGACACTCATTAGGCCCATTAGGAAGAAACCAAATTTGGTGACGGATGACATTGGCAACTACAGGCCTGTCGCCAATGTTTCCTTCCTTAGCAAAGTGGTGGAGAGGGTGGTGGCCGATCAGTTTCAGGCTCTATTGGATGAAACCAATGCCCTGGACCCATTTCAGTCGGGCTTCAGGCTGCGCCACAGTACGGAAACGGCACTGGTTGCACTGTTGGATGACCTGTTGAGGGAAGCTGACGGGGGCAATATGTCCTTGTTGGTCCTCCTCGATATCTCAGCCGCCTTTGATACCGTCGACCACGGTATCCTCCTGGGGAGGCTCTCCGAGTTGGGAATCGGTGGTCTGGGCTTAAATGGCTCTGATTCTTCTTGGAGGACCCTCACTGGGTGTTTTTAAGAGTCAGTTAAAGACTTGGCTCTTTAGGCAGGCCTTCCCTCCAGCCAGCACTTGATTTTTTCTCTTTAGTTTTCCTTTTTTTTTCCATCTCGAACTTTGTTGATTTAATGATGTGATTGTTTTGATGACTATTTTTTATGATGTTTTATAATTGCTTGTAAGCCGCCCCAAGTAGACTCTGTCTAGAGGGGTGGGGTAGAAATTGAATAATAAATAAAAAAATAAATAAACCTCTATCTCTATTGAATGTTGGGTGGCTGATCATTCCAGAACAACTGTAGTTCTTCAGGTCTAGCCATCGGTCACTTTTTCTAGGTCCCAAGAAGGTAACACCAACAGGAGGCTAGGACCCAAAATTTCACTTAAAATCAGGTGCTCTAGTAATCAAATCCATTACATGTGTACTAAACTTATATTTAACAAATGTCGGTATTATTAGCTTGCAAAGTGAGGTTTAAACCAACACGGATTATATGCTGATATCTTCTGCCTCTCCTGCATGCAGAACATAACATCAAAACTACTATTTCTGTGTATGTCCTGATGTGTTATGAGTTTTTTTTTAAATGGCTAACTCCACTACACACCTTGTATTCTTTATACCTTAATGAATTAGAAATGCTATTGGCACTAAGCTCTTTCCTTACTAGCAGTGTCATGTGACTACATACACAAGTGAAGCCCACTATGCAGCCTACTCCACCCTCACCAAAGTGATCTACAGAAATAATGACCCGGGGGGAGGGAGAGAAAAAGAGTATTTTAATCATACGTACAGATTGTTGACCTGACTGTAGTTTCTCTGTGTGTGCATTTAAAGAAGGACCAAATCTAGAATAGAGAAGGGCAAGCATCTTCCCTTGCTCCTCTTTCCTGCAGATACCCATGCCCCACTGCCTGGAGGAAAACAACATCTCCAATAAGAGAGGCAATTCTATGGAGCTTCACATAAAAAGATCAGATGGTATCGACTCACGATTTGATCAAGAGCCTTGCTATTGACAGGAAGACAAAATAAGTTCAAATGATCATGTTTCAAAAGAAAAAAAAAGCAAAACAAAACTCAGTCTCTAGAGCTGAAGTTGCAACCAGGTATACAACCATGCAGTCATCTTCCCTATTTCCTTTGAAGCTGGATGCTGACAAAAACAAAAAGAAACTAGAAGACAAAAATGCTAATGCTTGCAAAAGGAAAGCTCTTGTGGATTGGGAAGATTGGGAAGACCCAAACCATCATAATCCCAAATTCAAGGTTTGGGTGGTTTAGTGCAGTGGTTCTTAACGTGGGCGATAATGCCCCCCAGGGGGCGATTTCATTTTTCAGGGGGGCGGTAGATAAATAAATAAATAAATAAATAAATAAATAAATAAATAAATAAATAAATAAATAAATAAACAAATAAACAAATAAACAAATAAACAAATAAACAAATAAATAAATAAATCATCACCGCATGGAGGGGGGGCAATGATAACTTCCTCAATGGCTCAAGGGGGCGTTTCTTTCAAAAAGGTTAAGAACCACTGGTTTAGTGGATCAAAAATCTTGAGAATGACAAAAATGCTAATGCTTGCAAAAGGAAGGCTCTTGTGGGTTGAGGAAGATTGGGAAGACCCAAACTGTCATAATCCCAAGTTCAAGGTTTGGGTGGTTTAGTGAATCAAAAATCTTGAGGTTTTGAAAAATGGCAGCAAGTTACATAGCCCTTTAAAGCAGGTGTCCCCAACCCAAGGTCCATGGCCGGGTGCCAGTCCATGGCCTTCACAGGACTGGGCCACAGAGACAGATCTCCCACCCACCCCTGGCACGCATGCATGGTCCGCCCACCTGCAGGCACAGGTGCCCTGCCCATCCGTGAGCACACCCTGCCCACCCCTGAGCGCAAGAGGGTGTCCCCCCGCTCACGGACCCCACCCCCCTAACCGGTCCACAGCTCGGAAAAAGGTTGGGGATCACTGCATTAAAGCCAAGATGGCCAATCTTTCTGACCTCAATGACTGCATCTGATGTCGATGGGGGTGGGAAGTGAGGATGGCACATATAAGTCTTCCTGTAGGCATACACAGTTTTACACATATGTACATGTATTTCAATATGCAGAGAGTGGAAGGCTTAGATTTCCCTTCGCCACACATTGTGGCCTAAGTATCATGGGAGATGGGTCTGTTTTCCTCTTATAGTAATTGGTGGAAGACCAGAGATGAGCTTTCCAATGAAGCTTGTGAAAAGCATTTCCATCCCCCACATCCTTCTGATCAGCCAAGATTGAGGAAAAACTGGGTGGGGTTCCTCCAGGATTGAGGGTATTGCAGGATGAGCCTAAAGGGCTGCAATTTGTCCACCCCACCTTAAAGATTAACACATGTATTCTGGCTTATGTTTTTCCAAGATAAAGTACCCTGTACTGCATACATGATGGGTGATCCTAAATTGTTAGGTCACAAATGAGAGAAGAGTCTTCCACTGCTTTCCCATTTTATTTGGCTTAAACTTTAAGGTATTGCAGTTCACTTCAGATGTGATCTATGTACATCAGCAGGAACCTTATAGACATCAAGGGGTCATCAGAATCTATTCCTCTTTGTAGCTGCAACAGATTAACACAGTTACCCCTGGAAAATTTGAGCTGCCAGGATTCACTTGAAAGATTAGTGGTTTGTGGTTTTTGGTTTTGACCCAGAGGGATCTGCTTTCTGTTTCTTTTGAATTCTGCCTAACTGTTTTATAGTTGGGTTCACCAACTTCCATTATATACTTGCTATTCTTCTTTTGTGCTTCCACAAGGCAATGTTACTTCCACAGCCACAAAAGCAACAAAGAGTCACGTGGCACCTTAGAGGCTACCAAATTTATTATGGCATAAGCTTTCATGGAGCAGAATTTGATAGACTCCAGCCCATAAAAGCTTATGCCGTAAAAACTGAGCTGTTCCTTCTTAAGCCTGAAGTCCTGCTGGTTTTACTCATGAAACACCCTTGTTTGAAGAGTTGCAAACTAAATTAGGAAGCAGTCTCTGATTTAAATTATTTCAGAATAATAAGAGTTAAACTTGCTGAACTACAGAAATCATTTCATACATTTTGGATTTAAGACTGGGTTTTAGCCTCAAGCAGAGCTTTCCTCCCCAAATCCCAAATCTATGGGCCTGGCATATAGATCAGTACATGATTGGTGTATTGACATGATCAGACCCAACCTTTACCCCAAAATTTCCCCCTCATACCAGTATAGTGGCAGCTGCCTCCTTGCTCAGCAGTAAATCAGCAATCCAAAGACTTGTAGGGACCCTTCTCATAAATAATCTCCAGTGTGAACAGAAAGATTGCTAAACTGAAAGATAAAATATACCACAGTGAAGATAAGAACCTTTTAAGTGTGTACCAAATGGCCCAAAATATCCTATGGGAATTTGTTGTGATGACTCACTGAAAACAAACATGTGTTCAAAAATGCTGCCTCTGGTACTATTGAAATATCCTGAATCGTCAGGTGCCCAAGAAGTGATGAACCTGAACTTGCTGCCAACTTTTAACGAGAGAGGCTTCCTGTACCTTGAGTGACCCTGAATAGAATAGAATAGTGACATAGAATAGAGAATGTTAAAAAAAAGTGCAGGTTTTCTCACAAATGCAAGGCAGGGAGAGGGAAGTCTGGCTCTTTAAGATGCTTAATTCTCAATGCCTACCTCAGTGGATCCCTGTTGAACAGTTCGTATGTATTGAAAAGAAACTAAGGGGCAGAAAGAGATCTTGTGGATAGTCTGTAAGTGGAAGGGGGAATTCCTTTAGGAGAAAAAAAAAGCTCCATGCACAGCCAGAGTTTTTCTAAGCTCATATAATTTTCACATTAGCCTGCTTTGTTTCATGATTGCATAGAATTCCTCTGAAGTCTGATTTCTCAAACAAATCAATTTCCTTGAGTCACCGCTTCTCCAATATGAAGGACGTGATCACACGACGGAATTGTTCCCTACTTATGTCCAAGCTAAATTGTAGCATAAATTTGAGGTCACACGATGCACGCCCAGTAAAGATCCATTTTACCAGCCAGCAGTGTCACTGCAGCTCAGTTCCCACTCATCAGAAGGCTTCTGTCTTTTTGTTCCTTTGGCATTTCAATATATTCCTTAGTGGGATGGCATGTGTGTACACTGTCTTTTTGTTCCTTTGGCATTTCAATACATTCCTTAGTGGGATGGCATGTATGTACAATCCTATCAATACTTTTTCAAAGCAAATTCACCAGGGAAGGGGGCCAGCCTTACTGCTGCGTGGCTGCCCTTCTATAATTTTTTTTTAATTCCACAGCCAGAGAGTCAATAGTTGGTCAACGTATGTCAACAGCTTTGAAGGCAACTGGTAGGTTTCCATCCACTGAGTGCAGTTCATTACATCCTGAGGCCCCGGCACAACAGAGGAAATTCCAACCATCAGGAAACACAACCCAACATATCGATATACTGTTTAAAATATTTTTAATTAAAATTATGGGGCTGCAGGGCCCCATAAAACAAGAGGGAAAATAAAACGGTAGCACAGTGTAGCTGGCCATAACAATTCAAATGGAAGAAAATTAATCGGTAATGTTAAAGCACATAGGGACGTTCGTCCAGGTATATACATATCATGTGACTTCAGAAGAAGGCAGTGATAAACCATTTCTGAGTACTCTATAGCTAGAAAACCCTGGAAAGGGTCACTATAAATTGTAATTGATTTGACAACATATTTTAAAACAACAACAACAACAACCGCATCTTTAGCTTCATAGAAACGGACAGACAACAACAACAACAACAACAACTGCATCTTTAGCTTCATAGAAAGGGCCAGAAATTCAAGGTTGTTATGTAAGCATTTAGCTTAAGATGAAGCCGAACATGACATATATTATTCAATGACTAGTTGTGTGACTAATTAATTAAGTTATCCACCAAAGATGAATGGATGTAATGATATAATTTGTTTAATCTTGGTCAAGAAGCAATGATAATGGCTATGGGGGGAGGAGGGCAATTTGACAAGTCGCATTGACCTGCCTCCTGCGCTTTCTGATAGTGAAATGTTCATACCACTAAAAACAAAAACTTACTTGGGCCTCTTTAATGCTGGTCTTGGGGCCCTTATGACCCCTCTCTCTTTTGCAGCCCCTGAAGAGACTTGGATTCATCACCAAGCAGACTTCTTCAAAGAAAACTCACTAACTAACCACCTGAAACAGCACCATAAACTAAATATTTATCTGCGCTTTCTGATAGTGAAATGTTCATACCACTAAAAACAAAAACTTACTTGGGCCTCTTTAATGCTGGTCTTGGGGCCCTTATGACCCCTCTCTCTTTTGCAGCCCCTGAAGAGACTTGGATTCATCACCAAGCAGACTTCTTCAAAGAAAACTCACTAACTAACCACCTGAAACAGCACCATAAACTAAATATTTATTTTCATAATTGTCTATAGCTGAATTAAAGACTTTTCATTGTTGTGGGTTTTTTGGGCTCTTTGGCCGTGTTCTGAAGGTTGTTCTTCCTAACGTTTCGCCAGTCTCTGTGGCCGGCATCTTCAGAGGACAGCACTTTTGCTTTACTGACAAGATAATCCTGTATATATTTCCTCAAGAGTAAATCCCACTGAGTGCCTTCCAGGCAAATTGATACAGAATTTAATTGTGAAAACATCACTGGGGGACAGCCCCTGCCCTGTACACATGGAGGTAGAACATCCTCTGGGATACCCCACAACTCTGGCTAAACAGCATTTCCTGCAGGACCACTAGCCGTCTTTGGATTGGCACAACTGGCAGATACAGTGGCCTGAACAAGCTCCCATTTTTCAGTGCCCTCAAACATCTATAGTTCACATTTACAAACAAATCTAACACCAGATTTCTTGTTGAGGGGATTTTCAGTTAGTAAGAACTACATCATCATCATCATCATCATCATCATCACAATGTACTGTCAAATCAATTCTGACTTATTCTGACCCTTTTTCAGGGGTTACGAGGTAAAGAATATTCAGAAGTGGTTCACCATTTCCTTCTTCTGAGGGGTTTTCTGGGATTGCTCATCTGGCCCAGGGCTACACAAGCCAGTTCTTCTTTCCGGAGGCACAGCGGGGATTTGAATTCCCAACCTCTGGATCCACAACCCGATACCTAAACAACTGAGCTACCCAGCCAAAGCCAAATGCAAATCTAAGAATCTGTGAGGATAAAACGGGGAGTCTCTGTGTTGCTGACATTGTTTTATGCTTCGAACTAAGTTCTGTTCATAGAAATCAGAGAACTGTACTATCAGAAGAGATGGCAAGGGGGATCTAGCACAACCCATTGTGAATACAAAAATCCCCAACTAAAACATTCCTGAGAGACAGGCCATCAAACTCCAGCCAGGAAATCTCCAACAGAGACTGCTCGGGCAGTCTAGAGCAGGGGAGGTTTAAAACTCATACTCCCCAATTTCACAGCTTAAAGGAAATATTTGCCTGCTCTGAATCAACTGCTGACTTCCCCTCTCCCTTCAGACTTTCTTGTGCACTTCAGGTGACTTCCATTTGCAGGCACACTTTGCATTTTTCAACGTCTGTCTCTAGTACTTTTAAAAACTAGGTCCTGGTGCTTCAAAAACTGCTCTAAATTGAATAAGATGAGACGAGGCATAATTGTTGGATGGTCCAGGCAACCACTGATCACTTTATTCACACCTGAACCATACAGGAAGAGCACACTTCCCCAGAACATGATCTCAGAAGACAGCATGCTCATCTCCTATGTAATGGATACAACTTCAGTGTGGGCTCAGCACTGAATGCACCCTTAGTTGCCTTCCTCTGAGTTTAAATCCTGAACCCAAGAAAGAGGCAGTAGTCTTCCATTTCAAAGTAGTGATTCCATCAGGAGAAGCCCAAGAGGGTGTTTGGAGGATGGTGAGGAAAGGACTCAGTGTTCCTTAAAACAGGGGTCGTCAACCCCCGGTCCGTGGTCCAGTGCCGATCCGTGGGCTTGACAGAACTGGGCCGCAGATACGGATCTCCGCCTACCTTCACACATGCATAGTGGGCGTGTGGTGGACGTGTCATTCTCACACAGAGGCATGTCACACTTGCAGTGTGTGTGTGGGGAGTGGAGTGCGTGCGGGGGGGAGGTCTGTCTTCACGGCCCGGTCAGATTCAAGCCACAGACTGACAATGGACCGGGGACCGGGGGGTTGATGACCTCTGCATTAAAGAGACTTGTGCTTCAAACCTTGCTTTTACTGGAATGCCTGATTCCAAGAAGCTCTCAAGACCAAGGCACTTTGACTGGGCCGCAGATACGGATCTCCGCCTACATTCACACATGCATAGTGGGCATGTGGTGGACGTGTCATTCTCACACGGGGGCATGTCACACTTGCAGTGTGTGTGTCACACTTGCATGCATGCATGTAAGCACGACACACATCCCACGAGCGTGACATGCCCATCGTGCATGGAGCTCGCTCCCCCCCAAGCCGGTAGTGCGTGCGGGGGGGAGGTCTGTCTTCACGGCCCGGTCAGATTCAAGCCACAGACTGACAATGGACCGGGGACCGGGGGGTTGATGACCTCTGCATTAAAGAGACTTGTGCTTCAAACCTTGCTTTTACTGGAATGCCTGATTCCAAGAAGCTCTCAAGACCAAGGCACTTTGGGGAGGTGCACTGGAAAATTATCTGTACCACAGCCCCCAGGGCCAGGCATTGGGGAAAACAAAATAGCTAGCAGTAATGAGAAGAAGCTTCTGCAGCATCACTTACCACTGTTATGGCCTCTTTTACCCCTTGCAGTGCTTCCCTTATGGCAGAGGTACAGATGTCTCCCTCTCTAATGCAGCATGGTAGCTGGCTGGTAGCAGTTTTGTGTGCACCTACAATGTATGTAGGGATTGTTATCCCCACAAGATATGTCATAGAGGCTTCACTCCCCAAGTGGCAGAGCTGCACCAGAATCCTCTCCCCCTTGCACAAACATTTTGGCTCCTGTGTTCATGGCCAGTAAACACATGGCCAAGTTCCCAATGAAGAGGGGATTTTTGATATTCCCTCCCAGAACGTCTAGTAATACATGCCAATACGAGACACTTTCCTGACATTAATCTAGAGCATTGGCCCCTGCTGAGGGAGGATGCAAACACACACATTACGGTGTGGCCCATGATAAGGAATTAGAGCATCACCGCCCAAAACATCTGGAGCAGTGGTCCCCAACCTTGGGCCTCCAGATGTTCTGACATTAATCTAGAGCATTGGCCCCTGCTGGGGGAGGGTGCAAACACACACATTATGGTGTGGCCAATGATAAGGAATTAGAGCTTCACAGTCCAAAACATCTGGAGAACCAAACTATTTTTGGAGGCCCGAGGTTGGGGACCACTGATCTGGAGAACCAAACTATTTTTAAACTATAAATAGTGTGATGGATAGATCTGTAGGTTGGAATACCTGGGCCAGGAGATCCAATCCCCAGTGTGCTCTTGGGAAAGAGGCCAGCTGAAATCACCTGGTATGTCTATGCGTCTGATTGGGGTGACGTGGCCTTGGATAAGGTGCTCAGTCTCAGAACACCACCACAAAGAGAGATTGGTAAATCACTTTGCAATAGTTTATACCTAGAAAACCCTTGGAAGGGTCACCATAAGTTAGAAACTACTTGATAGAGCTTAATTGTCATCGTGATTGCTATCCATTGACTGTCAATGAGCCTGCGTAACTCTTTGTTGAAGACATTTTGGGAGAGAGGCCAGCTAGGACCCCTCCTTCCTTCTCCATAAATCATCCTGAATATGCTGCTGATCAGGTTAACTGTGTGTCCCTTATGCCTCTTCAACCGTTCCTAAGGAAGCTTCTATTATCCACTTTCTCTAAATGAAAAAGGGCCCATCCTTTTTCCCCTAGAAGGGCTGTGATCATTTGGCCTTCTTTCACTTTTACAGCTCCATGATACCCATTTATGGAGATGGGGTACCAAGTCTGTTAAGTATGGCTGCACCACTGATGCATATAATATTATTACTGTGGGGAGAGATTAAAAATTAACAGTATCTGAAATGAGCTAAAGTTGTGTTTCCTGTTCCTGCTATATGACTCGATGCAGGAAGCATACATAAAGACTGAAATTCAGTCTGTTCTCTCAGTAGATGGACACAACTGACTAAATTTGGTGGGGGCGGGGAGGGATGTGGGTTAATATATGAACATATCACATTGCCCTCCTCCTCCCCTTGAAATTCAGTATTTCTTTCTATAATAATTGACAATAAGGGTTTGCCACTAATGTGTTTTAAAACTACTCCAAAGCAGCTGGGCAACAAACTACTCACTAAACTGTTTTTGAATTTTAGGGAGCTACCAGGCATTTAATGCACAAACATCCCGTCACACTTTTTGGAATTTTATTGGTGAGGGGCATTGTCTTTCACTTGTAACCCTCTTACTTTTCCCCACTGCTGCTTCTTTTCCTTCCACATAAAATCTCTCGATGAGCATAAGACCGAATATGTGCACAATGGGATTGTTTTAGGTTTTTTCCACTGGGATGTCTGGGGGAAAAAATAGGTAAGAAAGTTTAAAATGCTGATGAACTGAAAGCAGAACCAACTCCTTCATCACCTGTTCCCCCCCTCCGCGAGGGGAGACATCTCATTAGAGACAGTAGGTTGGTGCTTGACCAGATCCCATGGCAGTACCTTGTAGCTCACAGTGTGGCCTTGGAGTGACATCCAGTGTTCAAATGCAGCACTGCCTTTTTTATATACAGTATATCGTTCTTTCCACTCACAGATAGTGCTGAAGTAAACGGGAGGGGGGGGCTCTTTAGAGGAGCATTTCCACACACATCCTCATATGCATACATAAAACTGGTGCACACTCCATCAGCCCTTTTTTCATGCCTCTCGATGAGAAAGGGTGTAAAACCATTCACAAAGAAACAGAGGAAGGAGAGAAAGCAACCAAGCTCACACTGCTTTTTCCTAATCCATTCATGCAGATGGATGGCACGCTCATTCAGATGTGCAATGCATTTTGTGTGTTGTCAGTGTTTCTTTAGAATTATATAATTAACTTTTATTTGGAGGAATCATTTTGTTATTCCCTTTTATAATTCCCATTATAGCCCTCATGGGCTAACTACCCATACTGCACCGTCTGTTTCATTCACTGCATCTATGTCACACCTATCCCACGATCAGAAATATCATCCTCACAATAAGAGCCTAAGGTTGCCTTTCCCATGAACCCCCGTGACTTCAGTATTTCCACAGAAACCCATTTCCACACATGCATCACTCACTACACCTGTGCAAACAAAATCCATTCATGACAATGCACTTGCCAGGTACTTACACCCCTCTGTATAATATACTTAAGACCAGACACCCCAACACCTTTGGCTGACTAGGGGCCAAAATGTCTGGAATATTAGTATTTGAAGGAGATGACAATTCTACACACATCTTCCCAAAGGTCCAGTAAAGCAAATATTGCCCATAATGTTTGTTCTCCAGTCTAGGACTGAGTCCAACTTCAGACATCACAGTTATAACATCTGGGCTGGTTTTTGGACTTTGCTCTATTGTTATAAGCCAAGATGGTTGATCCAGATGACCTTGAAGGATCCCTTCCATCTCAGTGACACAACAGTGTTACAGTGGAGGGCTTGACAATAACAGGACTGTTTAAGTCAAAGATGGGAAATATGCAAACCAGAGATCATATCCATCCTTGCCAGTTTTTGTGGGGGCTCCACAAGGAAATACCGGAAAATGGAGAATTGCACCCCTGGAAGCATTTTAAGACAAGGTTCACAGCCCTTTGTTTGAGCAAAAAACAGAACACTCTATTGCTCCATTTTTCTTCATGAGATGGATAGAGTTCTACTCCGTTACATACAGAAATTCCAGTTTTTCTGCTACTGGAATTGAATTTCTGATCTTACCTACTTCATTATGGCCACAGGTCAACCTTTTTTTAAAACAGGAATAACTCAAATGCAACAAAGCAGTTCCAGAAAAGAAATATTATCTACAATCAGCTACTGGAACAGACTCACATTTTCCTTGGGACTGCATGATGTTTCCTAATCTGGTTGATGGAGTGATTTAACTTGCTTCCTTATTATGCATGTACACAGAATTTTGCCATGTTGATTGTAGTTCCACTTGAGGAATTCAGGAGCAAGGAGGTATAAAATTTGCTGAATCCACCTGGGAATTTTTTATATATATATTTGTGTGGCAAACCAGCTACACATGTCTTTTTAATATAAGCAGTATAGAAGAACCCTGTCAACAGTTTGCACCATGCCAGATGGGCAGGAGCAGAAATGTAGCCTTTGTGGGACATACAAGTATTTCCCTTCTCAGAGTTCTGGGTGTATTGAAGCTGACCAAAGTGAAAGCTTTACAGTATTTAGCAATGTCTAGGTGGTGAAGGTAGTTCTTCTGGTACCTTCTACCACCAAGTTTCAGCAGCTATGTGTTGCCACAAATGTCTGTAAGGATGCCTATGCTTACATAGCCAACTCTGGCTTTGTTAGATCAGATATTGGAAAATGGTCTTTTAACAGAGAAAGGGGCTATAATAATAGTGAAAGAAACAGCCAACATCTCTTTAATGAAATGAGAAGGGAGCATGTCTGTTTTCCTACTCTTCATCAGTTCCTCTGGGCATACTATCATCCTAACTTGGGGAAAGAACTGACATGGCTCTCTGCTAGAAAGTCTAAGGCACTATAGGTAAAGGTAATGGTTCCCCTTGACATTTTTAGTCCAGTCATGTCCGACTCTAGCGGGTGTTGCTCATCCTGCTTTTCAAGCCATAGAGCCAGCACCTGTCCAAAGATAGTTTCGATTGCCATGTGGCCAGCGTGACTAGCTTCCACCGTTTTACCTTCCCACTGAGGTGGTACCTATTTATCTACTCACATTTACAGTACATGCTTTCGAACTGCTAGATTGGCGAGGAGCTGGGACAAAGCGACAGGAGCTCACTCAGTTGCGTGGATTCGATCTTACGACTGCTGGTCTTCTGAACCTGCAGCACAGGCTTCTGCAGTTTAGCCCACAGCACCACCATGTCCCATGGGCACTATAGCTTCCCTCAAAAATATGTCGAAGAACACAAATACGTAGGATGTTGTGAATGCTATACTTATGCTCAGCTTGTACATATGAGTACATAAAACTTACAATACAGAAACACTGTTTTAAGTTTCCAGTTATTTCTTCCTAAGGAAACAATGCTGGAACCCTCTAAACTAAGTGCTAGTTAGAAGGGAAGCATGCTCAGAACAGTATTTTCTTGTCTTTGTGTTAGCCCCCCCCTCGTACCACCATACCAAGTATTGTTAACGCTTGTCATTTAAAATCCATTCACAGGCTTAGTTGTCCCAATGTTAATTTAGTCTTTCCAGGTTATTCCATCACTCATTAGAACAATTCCTTAGATAAATCTATCACATCTTAATTATAGTGCCCAACAAACAGATAATTAGATTTCAAACTAATCAGGTGCACCATTCAGAACCATCTAGTGTCTCTTAATAGCAATCATCACTTCTTTGTTCAGTTAAAAGTCTAGTGACTGCTAATTTTTGGTACCGAAACATAGATGGATTCATATGATTATACAAAGCCTTAATAACTTTGAAGCAGGGACGCTCAATATCCTAGGCAGTCTTGTCCAAAGTATTCAAAAGTGTCCATTCGATGCAGTCAGAGGATGGTTTCCAGTGTTACCTTCCCCTATATGTATTCTGAAAGTAGGATTCCTAACATTTCAACCAACCATAGAAATGCACCTTTAACAACACATAGATGTG